GAAATATCAGCTGTGCTGCTGCCATCAACACCTTTGTTTCTAGATGCTGGAAATCGGCCTGTTTTTCAGTGTAGTCCTGTTTCTCTGAGTGTGACTAACTGGATATGGTCTCTTCATCCTCTGACATGGGAGCTGGCTCGGAGCTTGTGAGCCTTTCTGTGTTTTTTTCTGGACAGGGCCGCCTTTTGTAGCTGCTTTTTCAATGTCTGCTTCTGTCTCCTTGAACCTCATTCGGCCTCAGCAGATGGCCGCTCACACAGCCTGGTTCTGCTGGAGGTTTCTTCCTGTTAAAAAGGAGTTTTTCCTCTCTACTGTCGCTACAAGCATGCTTAGTGTGAGAAATTGCATTTGAGTCAATGAGTCGATGCGATCAGCTAGTTTTCCTTAGATAGAAAACTTTAAATCAATCTGACTGGATGATCTGGTGAACTGGAAAGAGCCTTAAGATGACATGATGTGAATTGGAGCTATAGAAATAAACTGAATAGAATAAGATGTTCGCCTCAGAACTGAAACCTGAAAGAATTTTCTCCTCTACACCTTTAATTTAGACAGCATTGATGTTTAAATATATGTGTCTATTTGTTAGCAAAGGCTTTAGGAAAGTATAGTTAGTCTTTATTTAGAAAATATAGATTGACCCTGAGGTTCTAGCGCCTATTCGCTTTCGACCACCCCTAAGTGTACATTGGTTATTATCTGGCCACCCTTATTAACAATTTCTGGCACTGCTTTTAACCCCTGCTCTGCTGACCCCACCACACCCCACCCAGTAGCCCCCCTGTCAGCAGCTACTTTGTGTTGCTGGAACCTGCCCAGGGTAAAGAATGGCTGAAATAAACGCAGCTGTCCATCAATTTAGAATCAAAGGAAATAAAACAGGAGCTGGGTCAGAACCGGCCCTGTGTATTTGGACTCATTGTACCGTCCAGCCTTCAGGAAGCATCATAGCTACCTGTCAGTCAGCGCAACATCACTGCCGTCACCATAGCAACCTGAAATTTCGGGAAAGCAGGATAAACTTTGACCTGAATGGTGTCGACAATTACATAATTTAGTGTCTCTACAGCTCTGTTTTAAGAAAATAATGAATTTATTTAATAAGTCAGTGTGGTCTACTTATTCTCTGAAAAAATTATCTATTTTTTTCTGTCAGAAATTGTAAACAGACTTTTTAAAGCCATAAAGGCTCCAGAAGCCTCCATGAAGCCACGTTAGCTTGTTAGCATAGTTAGCTGCCTACCTGCTCCACGGTGGCCGGGTCCACCGACTGCAGCCGGGCCGCGTTCTCGTATTCATCCTCGCTGTTGTTCCCGGCTCCTTCTTCCGTGTCCTGACTGGAGCCCACTCCTCCCGGTCCGGTCACTCCCGGCTGGCCTCCACCGGCCAGAGCAGCTACCACCCCCCCGGAGCAGGTTCCAGCCTGCCGCCGCCGCTTGCTCAGACCAGGCCCCGAGCAGCAGCCTCCTATCGCACCGCCGCATCCAACCACCCCGGAGGACACCACCAGCTCCCCGCGGGAGCTATTCACCATCCCCCCGCTGCTGTCTCGCCCGTCCCCTGGCCCCACTGGAGACACAGAGCCCACAGGAGGCGGGGAGGCCTGCTGAGGCCGGGAGCTGGCCTCGATGCTCCGCCTGTCGTCTCTGGCTGAAGGTGGGGCGCCCTGGTAGGACCACGGAGGAGGCGAAGCCCTCGGCCTGGCTCCGGTCCGCCCTGTGTGGGGATGCGGGTGTTGGTGAGGGTCGGAGCCGCTCCGGCGATCGCTGTCATCGGTGTGGTCCGAGACTCCGACCCCGGAGCTGGGCTTCTTCTTCGGGAGGATCGTCATGGTGGAAACGGTGTTAGGGGAGCAGGGAGGCGGTCAGAAATGGGGACAGCTCCGTTGTTCTGGACCAAAAGTGTCGGCCTGTTCACCGTCCGGACCGGCCGTTAGGCTCCTACCACCAAGATGAGACCCTCAGTCGAACCCAAGGCGGAGAAAGAAGCGGCCTCTCGGCTCCTTTTCGACGGTTTGAGATGAACAAAAACAAAAAGCGTCTCCCTCTTCCCGTTCTCCAAAACATCAACACAGGCTGACGGAGCGTGACGACGTCACCTCCTGTCTGCTGCGTCACCACGTTTATCTCAACTTTACCCCCTCCCACCAACACCAACCCCCCAAAATAACACAACCTCAGAACCTCAAAGCCTTTTACATTGATGCGCCGCTGTATATCTTGGTATGGCAGGCCATTTTGACATTTATTAGCTTGATTGAATATATATCCACCTTCTTCCTAGTCAAAATGAACATTTCAGATATCGAAAATAAAATCCCATCTAAAATATACATTCCA